GCCCCCCCCATGGACATGCTGGACCCGGGTCTGGATCCCGCTGCCTCGGCCACCGCTGCAGCCGCCGCCAGGTAAGAGCGCCCGGCCGGCCGGTCTTCTCGCGCTCCCGGGTCCCGGCCCTTCGGCCCGCCGGCCGGGCCGCCATGATCCCGAGGGCCGCCGGGCCCGGCTCAAAATGGAGGCCGCAAGGGAGGGGGCGCCCGGTGCTTGACGCCCCTGTCCCCCGGCCCGCGGGCGCCCGCCTGGGGTCGGACCGCACCGTCTGAATGGGGGCCGTGCGCTGGGGCGGGGGCGCGGGCTGCCCCGACCCCGGCCAGACCCCTCTCCCTCCTTTGCCCGCGCAGCCACGACAAGGGACCCGAGGCAGAGGAGGGCGTCGAGCTGCAGGAAGGTGAGTGTTTGCGGTGCACCGGGGCTGGGCCCGTGCCCGCGGAGGGGCTGGGCGTGTGGACCCCGCGCGGGGCTGACCCTCCCGACCCTCCTCCGACCGCAGGCGGGGACGGCCCTGGGGCGGAGGAGCAGACGGCGGTGGCCATCGCCAGCGTCCAGCAGGCGGCGTTCGGCGACCACAACATCCAGTACCAGTTTCGAACAGAGAATAATGGAGGACAGGTGAGGCGCGGGCTGGGCGCCTGCGGGCCGGCGGAAGGCTGAGCCAGGACAGGCGGGCGCGCGTGCTGGGAGAGGCTCAGACCTGGCCCCAGCCCTAGCCCCAGCCCCAGCCCCAGCGCTGGTCTTGTTGCTCTGCCGCCCCCTGCAGGTGACATACCGCGTAGTCCAGGTGACTGATGGTCAGCTGGATGGCCAGGGCGACACAGCTGGCGCCGTCAGCGTCGTGTCCACAGCTGCCTTCGCGGGGGGGCAGCAGGCTGTGACCCAGGTGGGTGTGGACGGGGCAGCCCAGCGCCCCGGCCCCGCTGCTGCCTCTGTGCCCCCAGGTCCCGCCGCACCCTTCCCACTGGTAGGTGCCCAGCATCTTGTGGGGGGCAGAGAGGTAGCACTGCTCTGCCCTTGCGGAGCCCCAGGGGGTGGGGCAGGTGGCTGACAGGTGCTGCTCTCAGGTGATGAGGCCTGTGGAGTCAGATCCCTATTGTGTGCAGTGACTTCTTGTGCCTTGTGTTGTTGTTTTGACTTTATTGTATAAAATGGGGATGATGAGCCAGGCATGGTGGTTGCACCTGTAATCCCAGCCCTTGGGAGGCTGAAGCCAGTGTGTAGCTAGAAGTCAGCCTGGACTACATAGTAAGACCTTGTCTTGAAAACTTTAAAGGAAAAAGAAGATGTGTCTCTCCGAGGAAAGCCTCTTAAAGTAAAATGAAGGGACCCAGCAAGTGATGGCTGAGTACCTATGTGGCTTCAGGGCATCTGAGACACAGGACAGAGGGACTCTCCTCTCTGCAGAGCATGTACTACCCACCAAGCACAGCAACAAGGGGGATGAATGGGGTTGAGATGGCTAAGGGCAGTCTCTCTCCTGTTCTCCAGGCTGTAATCCAAAATCCCTTCAGCAATGGTGGCAGCCCGGCTGCTGAGGCTGTCAGTGGTGAGGCACGGTTTGCCTACTTCCCCGCGTCCACTGTGGGAGATACAACGGCAGTGTCTGTACAGACCACAGACCAGAGCTTGCAGGCTGGAGGTAAGAAGAGGAAAGGCCAGGATGGAAGGCAGGGGAAGCAATGGGCCTGGCAGGCAGGGAAGCCCCTAGCCATTTCCAGCTCTGCCCTTGTCTTGCCATTAACCAACGCTGTCACTGCAGGCCAGTTCTATGTCATGATGACGCCTCAGGACGTGCTTCAGACAGGAACGCAAAGGACGATTGCACCCCGGACACACCCCTACTCTCCGTAGGTGCAGGAGTGTCTGCCCCAGGAGCAGGGGACCCTGGGAGGGTCTGCTGTTGGGGATGAAGGAATGGAGGGTTTTTTGGCCTAGGAGTTGGGCAAGTTGGCGCCCAGCAGGCACGGGATGTGTTTCTTAGCCTTCTTTGCTTGGAAAGTATGTTTCTTCCCTTTTTGTGTATGGGTTTGCCTTGCAAAGATAATTATCAAGTCTGACTGTAGTAAGTGCTTGGGCACGCAGGCCTGAGATAATATGTGCCCCATTTTTTTTCTCTCTCTTCTAGAAAAATTGACGGAACCAGAACACCTCGAGATGAGAGACGGAGAGCTCAGCACAATGAAGGTAAGAGCAAGGGGTAGGCAGGGCCAGCTCAGGCCGCAGCCTCCCAGCCCCAGCCAGTCCTGACATCTGGACTCAGACAGGGAAGCAGCTCTGGCTTGTTACCAGCTGGGTCTCATCTGAGATGTGTCTGTTGAATGTCAGAAAGGTTGAAATGGGGACAGAATAGTGTCAAGAACAGAGGTAGAGGGCATGAACTGAAATTGACCAAGTGTTTGGTCATGCCTGGCTCGTGCTTTTTAATTAATAGCCAACATCTAAAGTAGCCACCCTTAATGTTCACATATGAATCTCTTGCTCCTTTTGAAAAATCGAGTTGATCTGCCTACCCCTGGCCAACCTTCTACAGGCAGCTATTGTGCCCTTGCTTCTCATTCCCATGCCACCTGCCTCCCAGCCGGCAACATTTCAGGTCCTGAGGGATGAAGCCACAGGAAGACCTGCCTCTGGCCAACCAAGGACAAGGCAGCCTTCCCTTCCCAGAAACAACACATCACACCCTGAAGCCTTTTGTCCTTCAGTATTGTTGTTTTCCACCTCAATTGATCAGTTCTATTATGGACATAGCAGCCTGCAGGTGCCAAGGGAGCACTGACACCCATACAGCTAACATTTGACAAATATTTACTGACCCTGGGTCCCAGGCTGGGCATTGTGGGCCCTGTGTCAGGTCTG